AAGTAAGAACTTGTAAAATGCATCAGCTAACCACTATTCTGTTACTTTATGAAGAAACTGTTATCCATGATGGAATGTGTGCTTTTACTGCGTGACAGCGTAAGAAAATCGAGAAGCGATAGGTTCTAAGCGAGCATTAAGGGAAGCTTCAGTCCGGCAAAAAGAAATTGAAGAGTTTCAATCAAACTTGCTCGACCAATTTCAAAAGATCTGAATGCATGACTTTAGTGTTGACGTAGTCTAACGTCTATCAAAAAATCGACGAGCAAAGTGCTTGACTGTGTCATGTACATTAATGAAGACAATCAAAAGGTTTTAATAGTGCCTTTACTGAAACATATGACTTATGTTGAAGGTAAAGGTCATGTTTTGTATCTCAAAACAAATCGATCAATCCACATAAAATTATTTCTTACGACTATATTTGACGAAGAAGAGAAAAAAAGCTTATGCTTTAACCCTTTGTCCTGACAAAATTTGATTATGTTGTGCACATATTTTCACACATATGCTACGTTTATTTTTGCATTTCTTCATCATAGAGAGTACTCCACTTAAACTGTTTATTTTCTGAATATGAACTCTTAATCTATTTTCTAGACCGCAATATAAACACCACAAACTTGACTTTTAGAAAGTTACCGTTTCAGACTGCTTTTAGGAAACATAACTTTTAAAGTAAGTCGTCTTCACTAAAGTTCTAGGAATCTGTCTGCATATATTGTCACTATCCATGAAAGTTTGAGCGAAATTTATCGAACATTGATAGGATAACCTGTTGTATCTCTCAAACACTTAAAGCAGAAAACTATTCATTCCATTTATGAGTAAACGCAGTGCTTTAAACGAATGACATGCCAGTTATTGAACCATTGAGTAAAGCACTTTTGAGAGTAGAAAATAAATGCGACACAGTATCTGACAGATTCTCGGTCGCTAAGGCGTCTGTCACACAAATTACAGTGATCGTCACTCCTTAACCCTGATCCGTCCACCTGGAGTCAGTCCGTGCGGACCTCAGACGAAAACGAGTGCTTTGAAGATATATCTTGCTGCTCTACCAGATAAATAATGAGTGGATGCAATCAGTTCATATTGATAATATACCCTATTGTCATTCAGTGGAATATAAAGTGAAGCAGTAAAATCCAACCATTATGTTCAGCCAGTATCCAAATGAAACCGGTAGAATTTGGGCATATTATAGGTGGGCGGATCAGGGTTAAAAAAAAACATAAAAACATTATTTTTCCAACAGTTACTTATGTAGATAATGAAAAAGAAATTTCCAGTCATTTACTGCGGTTACTTATAATTTAGCATAAGTAACCGCAGTTAAAGTTTCACTGATCTAAAACAATTATAAAAAAAACAGAAAAAAATCGTGTTGCATACAGATCGATAGAGTTCGAAGAGTTGAATCGAATGGCATAAGTTTTGAATAGATCGACATGATAACAATTCAGAAAGATTTCTGGACTTAATTTATAAAGGATCTAGAGATCTTCGAGATCTGTTAGACCAGAATCAACGTATGTACTTACAAAACTAAGTCAGTAGTTCGACGTTCCTTTCAAAGACAAATCGATTGGTATATAATAAGCTGAGATTTGGTGAAGTCCTAATTTTAATGTCAGTGGACATTTTTTCCTGCAACTTCCATATAAGCTTTTTTATATTGATGGCTGATCTCAATATTATTGAAATGAGATAAAAATTCAAGTCAGTTGCGTAACATGTAGTCCAAATTGTATTAAAAATAAATTTCAAAAGTATTGTGGGACAAATTGAGGGGAAATGTAGAATTTTCGATCGCTGAGAAAATTCGATTTTAATGTCGATGAACATACAAATCGAAAAGTGTATCAGCGAAGTGACTGTTTTTGTATAAAATTTGTTCAAATGAAGTTTTAAGTGAGTCAACAAGCTCAAATTCTTAGCTACAAATTTCTATAAACTCGAACACAAATTCATTTGAATATGAGCTTTAAAACAGTAGTCTTTAAGATTCGTGAAGCTAAAATCTTAGTATTTTCTACTATTTAAGCCGTTTTTCTATAATGACTTACTTGTCATTATAGAGAAATGGCAGTTTCATTTGTTTCAAAACAAACAAAATTAAAAAAAATTATCCAAAAAGTCCATTGAGTGGAAAGGATTTTATAAGTGAATCACTGTGTGAACCATCTCCGTACAGTGGCTATGCGAATCATTCAACTATATTGGTTTAATTTTTCTTAAGAAAATTGTTTGGGATTTGTGAGTGTCGCTTTTCAGTGAGTAGATATAAATCGATTGTAGGACCAACGGTAGCAAAAAACCTTTCCCAGTTGACGACGGTCACTAAAGTTTAGAAAGTTTTTTGTACCTATGATGACTGCAACGCAAACGTTTTCTGAAAAACAATTTTTGAACAAGAAAAACAACATATATTTCCGAATGGGCTGGTCGTAAGTAATTTTTTTCAGATGAAGAGAATCTATCCGCTGCGATGTTTTCGATACACATTTACAGAAGTGGAGGGAAAAAAATTCTGTACGTAAGTGCAAACATTTTTTAAAAAGTACTTTTCAAGTATGTATACTATACATCTTTTTTGCTGTTTTCGAGAGAGAAAATCTTCAGTTATTGAAGGAAAAATTTGCAGACATGATTTTCTGTAGATCTGGCTATTAATCTCGAATCTATTAGTATAAACTTATCTTACCTTTCAAGAAAATTTTGTCGTCTTCTAATCGGTCAAGTTCACCATTTTTTGCTGCTGCAAGGTTAATCGTCTGTGGAATTTCATGAACCGATTTACCGAAAAATTATATCTTCACCTTGTGACCTATTTTACTTCCATATACTTTTGCAGTGCTTTCAAATTGAAGAGAGCGTAGATCCTTTGCATCTGACGTAAAGCGAAATATTTTCTCTCTCTCTCGTATACTGTAAATATTATGAGACAACAAGCATGTTATTCAAATAAAGGCAACCATGTTTACTATTTTTCCTATTTCTGGAGGCACGTTTTTATTGGTTACCACAAGGAAATAGAAATGGTTGCCGTTATAAGAAAAATATATAATCCACGCAGGTGAATAAACAACACTAAACAAAGGTCATACAATACATCATGTTAAGCATATTAGCTGATATTATCTTGTGTTCGTAAACCTTGGACTCAATCTTGGATCTTGATACAAAAATTGTCGAAAAACTTTGTTCTGTTTTTAAAAGAAAACAAGTTTTATTCTTAGAAGAGTCTTGTTAAAACTTGGAATATCATAAATTGTCACTGTCTTCGGTATCTCACTGTCATTCGTATTTTACTTTCCATCGAGAAAAGATGTTTAGTCGTAAACATGTTAGGTCTTAAAAACAGATGCTGATGCTATCAAATTTTTACGTTAATTTTTTGTGAAAGTGTTGAGGAACAATTATAACGTTATTTTTACGGTGTGCTAGAATTGTTTTTTGCTGTATAACATATTGATTTATCTTTAGCACACCCCACTGGAATGTTTTCTCGGAAGCGTTGTCACTTCTAGTCATGTCCGACGATTACCCGAAGATATGAACTCTTCAGCGACGGTTGGAACACAAAAACACTACCATTGATCTAAGTAGTTTCACTCAACAAACAGTGGTGGATTTAGAGGGGGGGCGATAGGAGAGATCGCTGCTCTCTTAAAAAATCATTGATCTGCTGCTGTCAACAAATACTTAAACAAGTACTTGTGTAGTGGGAGATTTTGTCATTGATGCAGTTTGGACGTCTATTTGTCCCTCATTGGGCAATTTCTCAGCGTATTTATGCCTCTAGTTCCAGGCAAAAATGCTTGTTCAATTTAGATGAAATTGTGACTTTTTTATTCAGGAAACCCGTCAAGAAATTTAGCAGATTTTTTTCTCTACTGTTTGAAGATTTAAAAGAACTTTTTTTTATTTTTTCCGTTACTTTTCATGTGACAAACGGAATCTCCTTTTTTATGTATCAGAAATTGTCACTGAAATATCATTGCTTTTAATCAAATGGTCTACATTCTAGAATATCTCTCTTGTCTTAAACGGTCTATCAGACAAACAAGGAGTTTGTGCAGAAGAAAGTAGTTTTGCAAAAAGAAATATCATGGTGGTTTCTGATAGTACGAGCAAGAAGAGTTATACAGCACAAGATGTTCTTGTTGATTTCTTGCTTGGAGGAACAGGTGAGTCAGAAGAACTCTAATACTCTTAAACCTCATTCTTATTATTTCCTTTTTTTAGCTGGTGGCATTAGCAAAACAGTCGTAGCACCATTGGAACGAGTGAAATTGTTGTTACAAACGCAAGATGTCAATCAAAAAGCATTAGAAAAAGGAAAATATAAAGGTTTTGGCGACTGTTTTGTTCGATGTGTGAAAGAAGAAGGTATATAAAGAATTTCTGTTACCTTATCACTCTCGAAATAAATAATAATATTTTTCGATTTAAGGTGCATTATCATTGTGGAGAGGCAACTGGGCAAATGTTATCCGATATTTTCCAACACAAGCATTAAATTTTGCTTTCAAAGAAACTTATCAAAAAATGTTTGCCAATTACAATCCAAAAACAGATCCATACAAGTTTTTTGCTGGAAATTTGTTTGCTGGAGGTAATGATTAATAATGTCATCGCTCGTTTTTCGTTTCAATAAACCTCGCTTTCTCTCTATTCTAGGTATGGCTGGAGCAACTGGACTTTTATTTGTCTATCCATTGGATTTTGCTCGTACTCGACTTGGTGTTGATATTGGAAAAAATGTACATGAACGACAATTTAAAGGAATGAACGATTGTCTCGTAAAAATATTCAAAGCCGATGGCATACGAGGTTTAAGAATATTCGATCCATTTTTGTTTCCATTCTAATTTCATATGATATTATTTATTTTAGGGCTTTATCGTGGATTTTCTATTTCGGTGGCCGGTATTTTTGTTTATCGGGCATTTTATTTTGGAGGATACGATGCCGGAAAAAGATTTATGTTTGGTGATAATCCAAATCCAAATATTTTCTATCGCTTTTTATTTGCACAAGCTATTACCTCGTCATCAGAATTTTTAGCTTATCCATTAGATACAATAAGAAGGTAAAACATTATTTATGTCCATCGAAGTATACTATAGCTTTTTTTTCTTTTCTAGACGATTAATGATGCAAAGTGGCCGTGGTGATGTTATTTATACAGGCACAATTGATTGTGCAACAAAAATTCTTCGAAATGAAGGCTCATTGGCATTTTTTAAAGGAAATCTGTCGAATATCTATCGTAGCGTTGGAAGTTCATTAGTATTAGTATTGTACGATGAATTCAAACGGTGGTTCACACAATATCAAAATAAAATAGCTAAATAACAATCTTAGACTGTGATCCATTTCCTCCTATAAACTATATTTTCCTGCTCCGATGGTGCTGCCAACACGAATGTAGTGAACAAACAAAATTGATTTGTTATATAAAAAACGTCTGTATCTTTTTTCTCAATGCATTCAAGTTTTGTTACTGTTCTATTTCCTACTATAGATCACTTTTTAAAACCATTTTTTTTTCTAAACAGTGCACTTTTTGACGTTTTTTTCGTATTGTGTCACTATATCTATTTCTCTATTTGTAGTATGTAGATAAAACACACAAATGATGTATAATTTTTTGTCATCGATCAACTTATAGAACTTTGTAAATGAGAAATACAGCAGTTTGCAACGCATAGTAAAAAATCGAACGTCTTTTTTTCATAAATACGATTCAGTCGAATGATGCACTGTATTTTTGTCCATGAATCGTTTCGTAGTCAAATGTTCAAAAAATTTCTTTGTATGTGTGTGTGTGTGGGTGTGAGTGGAATTTTTTTCACAAAAAATAAATATAAATTAAGTTTAAAAAGTTCTGAAAGAATGAGAAACGAATAGAAAATAAGTCATTGGCAATTTTTTTTTGAGGATTCTATCTTTCAGATTCGTTTCTACCATTCAATTTAACAATGAATTTAATTGATCTTGACTGGAAATTTGCTATTAATGTTGCTTCGTCTACGACTGAACCGTCATCAACATCTGGTGATACAGCACGTTTATACTTAAAATTTACTGTTATGGATAAAACTGGAGGACAAAAGAAAGACGTACCAGTTAGTGTTACATTGGAACAGTTTTATGCACTTGTTCATCAATTGCAGAAAGCAAAAACTGAAATGGAAGTTTATTCGTCCGACAATAATGCAATATAATATTTTGGTTTGTGATTCATTAGAAAGTAATATCTTTTCACATTATCGAAATGATTTTTTTTGATTAAATTTTGTTGTACTGTTTTATGCTCACTTTTGATTCTATTTTTATAATTATTTTTTCGCTGATATACAATATAGATTTGTGTTTGTGGATATCTTCAGAATAAACAATGAGAGACATTAAACTATGTTTTCAACTCCAAATGTTTTGACTGTTCTTCTATAAAGTTATACAAAACAACATCGTAAGCATTTTCAAACTAAACATTTACTTTTGGTTTAAAACGATTATATTCATAAAGAGAATAAAAACTATGTAGAAATTTTTTCTATTGGAATTAGGCTTTATAATCTTTTCACAATTTTAACATTTTCTTGAATGTAAATTTGTTTTATGCGCATTCTCAGTCGTTTTAATGCATTTATCTTTGAGAAATTTTATCTTATTAACTTTATACATGCCTTATCGTGTATTCTTCTAGAACTATCGGTTTTAAATCTCAAATATATTCTGAAATCTTTCAGTATACAGTAGTGGCCAAAATTAGAGTATCTCCCCCGTTAAATATGACATTTAGAATTAATCCTATAGTCACACAATAGAAACCAATAATTAAAAAATGGATGAAATCGAGCAATGGACAAATTTTTGATAGACAGGTTGGTAGATAGTATCAATTCAGATACAGTTAAACAACAAGCGGCGTATAAAAACATCGAAACTAATATATTATAGTTGATTCACAGAGAGAGATTTTTCATTCATTTTCGATGTATTTCGTACTCAATTAGATTTTAAAATCCAGACAATGTAAATTTGTAAAAATACACAGGTGGTTGGTATAGAAATCTGATTCTCTCTCATTACGTTTAAATATCATATTGTCATTATGTACACTAATGGTACTGAACTGTCTTATACTATATGTATTCCTTCTTAGTTAATAGCACAAATATCTTATTGAGTGGCTAATTCGATATAAGAAGAATAGAAAAAAAAGTAAATAAAACATTTTCATAGTTCCTCACATTTACTTTATACACACATATAAAAAAATTTTATCGTATACAATTTAACAATTTTGAATATTTTAATTTCTATTGTTAAATATTTTGTATATTTTTGCATGTTTTTAATTATGTACTAGTGAATACTAAAATAAAGTAAACTTAAACTCAAAATACGTTTGATCAATTTTAATGCAAATGTTAAATAAACAAAGTTTAATCATTGAACTTTACTTCTCCTGAAAACTACACAACATTTTTTTACCGGAGCTTAAAAATATATGTTCATATACACTAAATTTCATCAAACTTCAGTCAGAAGACATATTTTAAAAATAGATAGATATAGAACAAAACAACACAGGAAAGCATAACTGTCACACTCACCTGGGTACATACACCAGTGGAACCATTATGAAGAAAGAAAACAAGCATTCAGAACAATAATATATAATGGCAGCTGAGAGTCATACGTGCTTTTTGCACATTCGTTTCAGATTTACAAAAACCAAGCTTTCATTAGGCAAACAAGCGCGTTTAGAAACAAATAAGCAAAAAAAAAAATTAAATTGCACAAAATTTCTTTTTCATATATGTGCTATGTATTTACAATAAAAAAAAACAATAGTCGTGCTATGAAATAAGAATGTTTACCATGGAGCTTCACCTGTTGCACGATTAAACACATAATCTCGTCCATGAATATTCATAATACCGCTTTTCAATGTAAAGCGCCATTTGTTTTTACAGCGATTTATCTAAAGAGAATAGTACCGGTACAAGAGCAATATTAATGTAAAGATTAACGTTTAGATACTAAATATCAAGTAAGATGACATTTGTTGATACTTCTTCTTCGATCAAATATCTCTCTCGTTTCCACAGAAAAATTGCTAATATTTAGAGTGTCATATTTTTAAAAATAGTCAGATTTAAATATCTTCTTTTTCTGGTATGCTAAGAAAATTTTTAAACAAAATCTTAACGGTTTTAACTATTACTGTATATTATAATATCGATTCTAGAAGTTTTGTAAAGATGCATATCGCAATGTTTAATGTACGCTTCAAAAAATTATTATTTTGAGAACAGGTGGATCGGGAGCTAAATATAATCACTTTTCAGAACCAGTTTTTGAATTCTAGTTTTTCCAACGTTATTTTGTCAACATATTGATAGTTGGAGTAGGTGATGGTCACTAGAGTAACACAGTAGTTGAATTACTGCGTGAGGTATGAGATAGTTTTACACGAAAACAAAAAATGCTACGGCTTGTTTTATAAATCTATAAGGAATAGACGAACCTTGTCATATTGACAAACCACAACATTGTCACCTAAAGTAAAAGAAACAAAATGGTTTTTATTCGAGATATTCTTTTCTCTATTGTACCCACATTCAAACATTTCAGATGCTTCGTCGTCACTAACATCATCTTCGGAACATAATGGCTTTGGGTCCTTGGACACAAAAAAGATATAATAAACAAAAAATCTGTTTTGTTTTCAGCATACTTCATTTCCCTCTTCATTTGTTTCATCTTCTTCATCTTCTACTTGATCCAACGGTTCTTCTTCATTATCATCATCTTCATCGTCATCCGAAATCTAAAAATCAGTTTCACATTTCGCAATAACCACTTATACATATACTTAAATTTTACTTACCGGTGGTACTGTACCATCGAGTTGAAAACATACTTGAATCTCTTTCTTCTCTTTTTTTGCTTGTTTTTGTTTAAAAGGTTTTGTTATTAATTCGTCACACTGACCATCAATCTGAGGCACATTATTTGCTCCACCACGATTCTAAAAAATATCGAAATTATTGTTTGTTTCTTTTTTAATTTTCTACTGTTTTATTTACTTGTTTAAACATTTGTTGACTTTGCTGAAATGATGCATTCTGCATAGCATGAGATGCAGCTAAATAAAAAATGTTTATTATAAGAGAAAAGCAGTACCAATAGCAGAGATATCTACCATTTTGTGGAAATATAACTGAACTTCCTGGAAAGTTTTGCAATAATGATGGTGGTAAATGTGCTGGTGGTAAATGTTGCAATGATGTCATTGATGCTGTATGAAACGTTGCTGATGAATTTGTAGGATTGAGATGTGACGAAATCAGATTACTGGCACCGGTCGGTTGTACTTGTTTCACATATTGATGAGTTATTCCAGGCGCTGATGAGTTAGTAGTCAACGTTGAATCATGTTTAATTGTTGTTGCTGCATACCCTCGTGAGGAATGTTTATGGCCACCATGGATACGTTGATTAGCATCCTCAGCCAGCGGTAATGGTTCAAGTGCTTTTGAACCGTCTAACCGATTGAACCATAACTAAAAAATTGTTTAATAAAGTTTCACTTATCTTAAAAAATCTCAAAGCCGCTGTAGCTATAATTAAACCTACCTGTCTCAGTTCAGATAGTGTATGTTCATCAAATCCTTCATCGAGAAGTGCTTCACGTACTGTCGTAATGACATCATCAATTACATCACAATAAATTTTTTTCTAAATAACACAAAAATGCAAACGGTCAAGGTCTCTCGTCACGTCAACGTTAGCTTAGAAGAAGACCACTTACAATATCATTAGCGGCCATCGTTTAACTGCCGAAATGTTAAAAGGTCCTATTATTAAGAAACAATTTCCCATACAATTACACAATTTATTCGCAATTATCAGACCTGTTGGCGATGTTGCCGGGTCTGTATGATCAGAGTAAAATGGCCCTTTTATATAAAAATCGGTGCATTAAAAGTGCTTCTACATTGACTAATCATCCAATCAACGAAAGACAATTTCTTTTTTTCGTTTTTTTTTTGTTTTCTAAAACAAAACTTTCACTACTGAATAAACGATACTTTTTAGAGTACGTATTTTTCATAGCTCTTTAAATTTTTATTTGAACATTTTGATTTATATAACATCTGATCCAGTTACCATCTCATTGGTCATGTCCATGTTTTACTAGCAAAAAAAGAATAATTCCACTTTTTTCTTTTTATATTATGTCCCCGAGATAAATGGAAAAAAAATAACACGGTCTATCACAAGGTAACGCTCGTCTGCACTCGCTCTGATTTTAGAAACTTATATCTGCGAACGACCTTTCATAAGGCTAGGACTAAGACTGTTTCATTCACGAAAAGTGAGAGTCATCCAAAGATCCCCGACCTGTAATATAACGACTCAAGCCAAACAACACCAAAAGAGGAATAAAAAATAGCAAAATAATGAAGGCAACTACGGTTAGAACCAGAAGTAGTAAACAATTTTAAAAAATAAGCAAAGAACAAATACAAATTCCGTTTGCGAAGAAAAACCATCAACAGAAGATGGAATGCGTTCATATTTAGAGTGATGAAGACGTAAAGATGAGTAGTGAGGACGATGAACAGTATAAAAAAAAGAAACAGGACTTAGACGATGATAAATTTTGAAAAACTGTAGAAGTCTAGAATATTCACGACAAAGAGAGAGATTTGGAAGAGAAAGTTGAGACACGAGTAGAGAACGAGAAAAACGGTAGTCAAATTGCGAGAAATAACACGAGAAGCAAGTTTGTTTATAGAATCAAGAACAGTAAGAGAAAACGAACTATCATACAAGGCACAGCAATAGTCAATTTTAGGAAGGATAGAAGAACGATAAATTCGCCGTCGAACTTCAGTTGGAGCTAGTCCAAAGACACGATTCAAAGCTCCAGGCTTGTGCCGACGAGCAAGAACAATGTCCTTGGCATGATCATTCAAACTAAGATCGTACGAAACAAGAACATCAAGACAACGAACAGAAGGCACAACAGAGAGAGGAGCACCATTGAGATACAATTGATTACAAATATACGGAAAGAGTTTGTAAGAGAAAGGAATCCAAAAAGATTTAGAAACGTTTAAACACGTGAGATTGGAAGAAGATCAGTTAGAAACAGAGTTTATATAGTTTTGAACATGAGAAAAATTAGAAGAATTAGTGGACGAAAGAGGAACAATCAAAAAAACATCATCATCAGCGTCTATTGTGCATATAGCTACCTGAAAATTGATGAAGATAGATCAAAGTTTAGTTGGCAATTGCCACAACTGGAATTACTTCGAGAGTGTGTTTATTGTTCTCGTATTTAATGACATAGATGAAGTTTTATTTTTGTTTTGCCGATAGATTCATTCAGCAAAAATTGAGAATGCAACGAAATCAAATTGATGATCTGTTGTTACCAGTGATCAAAAGACTGAATACGAAAGAGATTTGTTGTTTTTTATCTATCCACGGTCTTTTAAATGAATTAATTTTTATTTCTACTTCTTTTTTGTTCTTTCTTCAGCTTCAATCATGTAGCGATGCCTATTTGCTGCAATCAGACGATGATCGTTTAAGACCAATGAAAAATGTTCATTTAAGAAAAGCTTTGGATGTATTGAAACAGAAACAACTTAAAGTCAGAAAACGAAGATGATTTCATTGTATTGCTCAAACGTAAAACAAAATAAACGCGAACGAAAAAGGTAGTTTATTTTGCAACTAACTGGAATGTAAAATAGGAGCCGATTATCTTAGTCATTCACTTTACATTTTGATCAGAGTTGCCAGATAGTTTGAACACTAGGCTCTGGAGTTTTCTCGGTGTTTGTCCGGATTTGAGAACTCTTGCTATCCGTCATTTCACTTCTTAACGGAAATTTTCCTTCTCTGCTCGATTGTCTAAAAAGGCGCCAACATTGCTGATGAAAGCGCATGTCCGCACATGAAAACAGCCACCTTGACTGAAGAACTCTTTTCAAAAAATCGAAGTTGAGCAGTTGGCAATATTTAAATGCTGTCTGACTGTAAGGTATCTGTTCAAATGTAGACTTTTATGCGTGTACACCTCATTTCAAATTTTTTAAAAACTGTTTCATCCTTCATGAACTTTTTGTGTAGAAAACCATACATTTGCAGTGTCGTTTCATGTGCCGACGTTTCATTGTGATTCCACAAAAAAAAAAGAATGCCATGAAGCATTAAAACGCGTTCCCGACCTTCTTCCAGACCCTTGAAAAAATGTTTCGGGTTTTCCCAGATTTCGGTAGTCAGGTAGCCAGACTTCGCTACTCCTCTATATGAAAATATCGATGAACAATACTCATGAGTATTTTGCCAAAAGTGGTATGAGTACTCAACAATACCCAAGCATGAGTACTCAAAGTCGTACTCAGAGTACTTGTTACTCACTCATGTGTACTCAGGTGAGTACTCAGTGAGTAAAAAAATGTATGAGTACGTATGA